GCCTTTTTTCTCTGTTTCTGGTCTCAATACCAAAGGTCAAAGTGTCATCTCTGTTTTATTTTCCCTCATTTTAATCTTTATTTTATTTGATTTCTTTAAATTCCTTCAGATCCATGCAGTTTGATGACCCCCACAGAGTTATGTGTTCCCAGTGCACAGCCAGGTTCCACCAGTCTATTTTATGCACGTATTGATTATACTTAAACTCAGAACTTCGAGATGACTTACAGCCAGCCATTGCCAAACTGCTTTGCTCACTAGAAAAACCTACTCCTATTATCTTGCATTTAATTAAGACATAGCAGCAGTTTTATGCACCATTATTCGCCCCAGCCTGGTCTCAGAGGTGTAAATATCGAACCGTCGCAGCTTCTGAATGTTAATCAATTCCGACCGAATTTCAAATGATTTAATAAATTTCAGGAAATGGATATTTGCAAACATTATTCTCAGATGCATGCATTACCAATCTCCCTTGCACATTATGAAGATATGTGCATTGATTCTGACAAGTGAAATAAGGCATGTGTTCTTAATTAGTGGCTCATATCTGGGAATTAAAATTTAGAGAAAAAATACCTTTTAATAGAAACAGCAGATTTCATGTTTGTTGTTTCAGCAGATTGGCAAGTGACCCCTTGTGCTGAGGGGCATGCACTTCACAAAATGTGTTGAAAATGCTAATAAGGATACATGGTTTTTTATGTTGAGGGTCATTCATTTACATTGAGCGCTTGACTAACAACTCCCTTGTCAGATTAAGAACTCAAAAATTCACAGAAGGTTATAACAGCCACACCATACCTAACACATTTCTGGCAGTTAAGGGCAAGCTGATACTGACAGAAAATCCAGTATTTTTCTTGCTTGTGCATGTTATGGCAGTCACATTTTGGAAAACCTCAAATAACCGCCAAGAAATGCTAAGCCAGATGTGCAGAATTCAAGAATACCAGGAATCAAACTTCCAAATTGTCCAACAAGAAACATGAATGAAGCACGAAGAACAGAAAAAAAAAGAATCCCAGCATCTTTTTTTGTTAAAGTTGAAAATGTTAGGTTACTTACCCCTATACCCACAAATCTCCTATCCATTGGGAGCACTTATGAACCTGGCCTGGATTTCTTTTGCTTACTTGTTTTTGACAACTCATGATGGTGCTGCTTTTCTTACAAATGCAAATGACAGCACCTGACCCTTAACTGCGGGGTTACACCAAGATCCCAAGACTGTATATTTAACCCTCCCCCCAACCCCCACCCCCACCACCATATTTGGCACATATGAATGAAAAATGTGTGGTTGATGATTGTTTGTATTTTGAAAGTAAAACAAGGATACTTACAAAAACTGACCTGACAATATTATTGGTTCCAGAATCATCAGTGCTAGTCTGTAGCAAGGAATAACATTTTGCTATCTTTTTTTAGGATAGCAGTGCCTCGTACTTTTGAGTGCAAGGGGGGAAAAAACAAAAACTAGCCCAATTCCTACAGTTTACTCAGGCCCAACACTGAGTGTTTGTTAGAATCGATAGCTGCTTTGCAATTATTTGCCCATTGATAAACTCCTCAACATTAAAACCCATGCGCAATTGTTTACAGCTAAGACTGACAGCAGAGCAGTGTCTATTGCCTGCTGCCTGTTCTGACTTCAGGAGTCATGAAAAGACAAGTTGCTGCATTCAGGTCAAGTAATGTCTAACCTCCTCTTTATTGACACTTGGCTTTACAAACACTCCCTGGCTTACAGAGGCTGACTATCATTGTTGACAGATCATTGCAAAGTTCATCTACTGATAGAAAATACAGGAGGCAGAACTATAGGGTATAACATATGTCAGGGAAATTTGGCTTTGATCTTATTTAAAAGGCCTAATTTGTAAAGCTGATAAATCAGCAGAGAATAGGTGATCAGGAAAAAGAAAATGTATGTGCGTATGGTAAGGCCAGACTTTTCTTGGATTGAGTGAAGGCTGTGCAGTACATCAAGACAAGGTGGATATGGATTATTTGTTCTTTAAGTGCCCTTATTTGTTCTTTCCAGTAGTCCAAAAAGTACTCAATACATTTTCTTCTTAAAAAATCAGAATAACACTGAATGAAAACTTTCAAATAAAATATATTCCTTGTATTAAAAATACTTCCCTAAAGTAAGGTACCATTCTGGAGAAAGCCTATCAATGGAATTCTACTCAAAGCCAAAGAGCAATACTGAATTATGCCTCATCTGGAACAATATTCAACATGGGCGGTTTGCAGTTTCCTTCAGTTTCTAATGTTTACTTGTGTTGTATAAGGAATGTTTAGTTGAGACACGCATTACAGATCAGCAATTAAATCTAATTAAAAGCTGGTGAGGAGTAGATTAAAGAATTTTTTTCCCCTCAAAAATCAAAATACATCACATCACATTTTGAACTTTGGAAGGAATCTGGGAAAGAATCATTTCATTTTTCAAATATTGATCTAATTACTGTATGAAACCTACAGCCAGTTCTTCCATGTGCTAATTCACTGTATCTGTACAATATCTGTTGAGTGAGCACAGACAGGACAGCAGAAAATACCATTTTGGTGTATTGGAATGTACAGGCTGTAGAGGTTTGGCAACCACTGCCCAGTCATAGAAAGTGGAAGACCCAGATAGGAGCGACTATGCTACAAATGCCAGCAGGGAGAAGCACAATATTGGGTTATGCTTTCTGCTACATTGCAAGAAATACTCTCCCCTGAAATAAAAAATGAAAGCCAAAAAAATAGAATTCCCTCACCTTCCAGAATTAGAACAGCTATCTATCCTATTCAGGGATTAGGGGAAGAAACGCAATAGAATCGGCAGCCTAGTACTGTATGTGTTACAGCCCGAAGAGCATGGAGTGAGCCTCTCAAATACAGTAAAGGTATGTTATTCTAAAAGTTTTTAAATGTGTCAAGAATAGCTTTTAGCCCTTTGCTAATTGTTGTTGCATTGGCAACACTGTAATTAATAGGTCAAGCAAAACCATCAGTCACTGTGGAGCAAGATATTGATATTGTCAGCAGTTATAAATATCTTGGCACCATTGTTGATTACAAGCTAACCTTTTGAGGAAAACACATGTGACATGTGAAAGAAGAGACAACAGCAACTGTTCTACCTGAGGAAACTCCAGTCTTTTAATGTGTGCAGTACAACAGTGACTTTTTTCCATTGAAATTCTGTTGAATCTGTCCTAACATTCACCATGGAAGTCTGGTTTGTAACTTTAAACAAACGCAATAAAAACAGACTGAGCAGGATACTGAAGAAAGTGCAGCAAAACTATCGGTGCAAGACATCGGTGCAAGTTTTCAAGGCATCTACATTACGTCAAACAAATAGTGTGGAAGGGCAATTTAACTGTCATGACCACCCCTTGCACAGTGAATTTGAGCTTCCATCGGGGCATCAATTTAACTGCCTAGATTCAAGTGCAATAGAACTAACTTATCCTTTATTAACTTGCTCAATTTGGAAATTAATTGTATATTTCACTTTAGAATTCTTTTCATTCTCGTCAGACATGCATGTTTCTTATTTGTTAATAGGTTCGTTTATTACTGTCTTGAATTCTTGAATTTGAATTTGCTCATGCTGATGTAACCTCAGGTTTCCGTTTCAGTGCTGGCAGCAATCTGAACAGAGAGTTGGGGACTTTTTATGAGTGAACCTTCATGATGTGGTTTCAGAAGTCACCTTGACACACTGCACAGGGAACAAGGTGTGCAGCAAGAATGATGAGAAAATAACGCAATGCTAGGGACAGTGCTCTGGCATGACAGGATTTATAAGTATTCCATAACTGAATCAAAAATAAAGACAAAATCGATATGCAGCTTTATGTAACTTTATTTTCATAAAGCATGTGCAATATTTATGTTTAGAATTTCAAACCCACTATTATTTGCCTTTCAAATTTGATTAATGTGCATCTACCAAGCTGTGCTAGTAAAATGTTAACCGGTATCTGTCTAATCTCTAGGCTTAGTTTTCCCTCTCAAAACTGTAGCGCAGCTCTGAAGTTCAGGCCTGAATACTGCCTTAGGCTGTACACAACTCTCTGGTGTATGTTTCATTATGTATGGTGTTTCCAAGAAATAATTCTGATAATCAGCTCCATGCTAAAGAAAATAAAATACATATTAATCCCACCAAAATATAACAGCTAGGTAGGCCTCATATACAACCTATTTCATTATTCTTCTGCGTCTACTGCATGAAAAAAAAAATATATATACCGTATCTAGCTGCATAAACTATTTTAATATCCACACTTTACAACAATTCCTTGTCATCACATTAGAATAATCCTAAATAATGTAATTTTTTTTCTTGTCATCTCAAATAATGTGTGATGCAGTGCTTTCTTATATACAAGAGATTTACATGTTTAAAACTGTTCTTCAAATAATCAGTTCAAACAAAAGGCTGTCCCCTTCAATAATATAAATTACAGTGCTTTTTTCATGGGTTTTTATACATACTGTATGATTTTAAAAAGGAAGTTGGATATTTACACATTAATTTATTGAGTGGATGACCTTAATGTCTTAACAAAAACGATTGCAAAAGCAGTACTGTATGTCAATTCAGTGTGCCTGTAATGGCAATTGCATGATGCTGTACAAATAATACCCTGATTTCTCTGATTTCTCTGTACTACACAAATAAAAAAACAACTGATCTGAATTTTACAAAATTTTGTGTGGAACGTAAAATTAAGTCCATGCAAGTTTTTTAAAAAAACATAAGTTTATACAGGAAGGATTAAAAATTTAGTCTTCCATATTGAGTGTTCCAGGCACTAAATCAGTATTCATATTATGCACACAGTAGAATAAATATCAGCACCTGCAGTTTTCTTGGCTTTTGTTATCAGAGTAAAGTAGCAGTTATTGTTTTCTTGAGAATTCCAAATTCCAGAGTGACCTTCTGAAAAATGATTTCAAGGATGAGCTTAAATGCTGCTGCTACTCACCGAGACTGAAGAGTACTAAGAACTTCAGACACACAAATTCCCGCTGATCAAACTGTAAGGAACGTAGTTTGCCCACAAGCTCTTGTGCGTGGCTCATAAGATTATTCAGTGTAGCTCCAGCTTGGGAAGCAATTATGGAATAATCCACCTAAATAAGAGAGAAGAGCACAATGCACAATAAATTATTAAATAGGTATACAGTCCCAGACACATTCTCCTTTTCCAATAATATTACTAATACATTGTCATACAATTTGCTTGTTAAGCTTAATTAAAAATATATATGTTTCACTGTTTATGAGACCACTCGGTTTATCCCTGTAAATAGAAAGATTTCTAGTGAACTAAGTAATGTAAGCCTGCATGAACACTTAACTCAACAATTCCATGGACAACCAATATTTGCATTTAAATGGTAAACAGGAGAAATATTCTATCTTTAAAGCTTTCTATACATTAGTGGCAGTGACAGCAGCCGTAGTCCTTGTCAGATATGCTACACTATGTGGTTAAATTTTAGGATTGCTGAATATCCTGTGAAAAGCTCACATCTGAAAATGTGTCTTTTAATCTATAACTTCCCCTCAAACGGACTTTTAGAATGCATTAATAGAACTCTGCAATTTTGTGAAGTGCTAGCAGACAGTTCCTCAACAATTCTTATAATGAAGTTCAAGTGCATATGTCGGCTTCTTATAAAACGGCAGCTGCAGTAAGTCTCGATGTGTTTTTGTTCTTTTTTTTCTCATTTTGGTTGGACAGTTCCCAGAAAATTGATTAAATTTGAAGAAAGAAAATAGCACACAGAAATGTACTGTTTCTATGGAATCCACAAATATTTCCTTGGACGTTCTCATTATGGATTTAAAAATTGCTCAAGTCGCACTTCATTTTTTCTTATCCAACTATTTACAATATCCCCACCCTTCTGCCAGATGGATAAGTACTCTTGTTATTTAAGAGATACTTTATTTTTCATTCTGCAGTTCAAATTTGATTAGTATTGAGGCTTAGTGGATTCAGTTAGTTGCTTTTCTGAACTACATTATGAACTTTTTGTACACATATTAATGTAGAATCGATTTATTTGCTGGTGGGGGAAACAGCTATTGTTGGGAATTTGGTGAACAAAGTCAATCTTTCTGTCTTTTCCAGAAAGATGTTTAAAATATTCCTGTTCTACAGCACTCTATCATAGTAAACTACCTAAATCTTCTTAAAACCAGTCTTGTGATATGTTTTAAACTTTAACTCAGAAGATTCTGGTATCTTTTGAGGTACTGTAACTTTGTACAACACCTCCTGTACAGCAAGCTCATGTCTCCTTCTAAACTTAGCCTGCACTGCCTATTGTACTGTACATCCTAGCACCACAGCAGGGAGAAAACTAAAATGAAAACAGCAGCATAATGAAGATCAAATAAACAAAGGCTCTGCATTTTTCCTTTTCTTCTTCTGGACACTCACGTTATCCATGAGGGGGGATCTTAGGAGTTCCCAGAGCTCTGTTATGAGGCTTCATGCAGGCCCTGTGGCCCACAACTACTCTTTCAGGTGCACTTAATATCTGCAGCAACAGCAAATTTGTCTGGGAGGCAAGTCCTTAGCTGCCACTCACTGTAAGCAGGCCATATTAAATTTTTATATTTATTGACAATTCATTACCATAATTGACTGCACTAGGGTTTCTGGAAGAAGGTAGACGGCTGCCTCCTAAGCACAAGAACGGGTCCCTCGAGCAGGATTTGCAATTAAAAATGAGGCAGTTTGGAATTTATTTATTGTGTAAATATGATGAGTAGAATTTTTTAGCTCAGGCTAGAGAATTCGAGATGCACACCGGTTCTTTTTTTTTTTTTTAAGGGTGTAAAAAATTATGAGTCAGTGAAAAGCAGACCCCCAAAGGTGTCAATCAATTTACATAAAATCAACTGTGCATGAAATAACTTCAATGAGAACCCCAGCTCAGACACCATTCCCTTGCCTTAGTGTTCTTACCAAGAATACAGGAGTTTATTGTCTGACCACTGCTAAAAGACTTAGGACAATAATCTGTATTGTTACAGTAGACACATGCACTGAACTGCAATGGAAGTCCGGCAACATCTGGTTGTTAATCAGACATCAGGCCCATCCTTTCAATGAAAAACTGCCATGTTTAATGGCTCTTGTCATGAAAAAAATCTATAAAGCAGATTTTTGTAATTAATTATGTGAGGGTAGTTTTTTTTTACTACCTTACATAATTAACCTGCATTTCTGTTTCTAAACCTGTTGGAAATGTCGTTTCACAAGAATACCATAAAAGAAAATAGTTGCATGACAGTTATTAATATGAAATAAATGAGTAGAATGAAAGGAGTTCACAGCTAATTCTAGATCCGAAGTGTCTCAATATCACTTTTTAAAATTGCTTACATTAAGTGTGTTTGGCATGCTGTATTGTGTTTTTAGGGCATTTATTCAGCTTAAGAATGTGACTTACTAATGTACACTACCTTATCTTTCATATTTCAATGTGTCATATTAAATATAATGTAAATGTTGTAGGATTTATTTTTCTCTGTAATCACTGTTGAAATTACATTTTTATAGAGAAATAACTAAGAATCAATTTGAATTTTTCTAGACGAGGAGTAAATTTTGGTCATCCCAAATTATCATATCTGGAACTTTTAAAATGGATCTAAAGTATTTCCTTCCTAGAGATTTACTTCAATATTATTACAAGCTGCTAGCAGTAATGTGTGTCAGTGGCATGCTTGATTGCAGTTCCTTTGGTGTAATGTTTCAGTTCATTTTTTAACTAATCCATCTCAGTGTATACTGCAATTCCACAGTGAGGTATACATAGATACATTGACACAAGAGGCAGTACAAACAACATCTCTTCTGACAGCACGCCTGTGCAAACCCTCAGAGGAATCTCATAACATTTATATTGAAACACTAGCAAAGTAAAAACAATGGCTACATTTCTGACGTTACTGGAGAAGTTTGCTCCTTCCCCAGTACGTGATACAGACTGCAAAACTCTTCCAACTTGTTATCCTGAGCTAATTGATCATGTCCGTCCTCCACAAATGCCATTAACATCTTGCACAAGCCTCTTTTAGGTAGATCCCACACTCCCGTTTTGGGATGATTTGTACTTTGCAAGACGGCTGTCATTCCTAAACCACTGTAAAGTAACGGAAGATAATGAACAGGTCGAGTGTACCCCTTCTCCCTGAAGACCTAGCAATACCAGCTGTTCATTAGCCAAAATATGCAAATGGTACAGCACTTCACTCATCCCAGCCGGCCTGCAATACCAAGCAAAGCCTGCTCTTGTGTCTCAGTTTTTTTTAATCAAAACAGAAATAAGGAATGACAAACGAATGGGATGTGGACGATAGTGTTATCTGTAAGACTTCAGGTTCGCTAGGAGAACAGAGATAGGATGACAATAAGCCAGGGAGTGAAATTTATTAAACAAATGCAAAGATCAACACATTCCACTTTCGAGCTTCTGCCAAACTTTGCATTGCTGCGAATGCACCTCTCTGGATGAAACGCGTTTCGCAAAAGGGGAACGTGTAGCAAAACATCCCATTGATGTTTTCAAAGCAGAAAAGCAAATATCGTTCGTACAGTACTGAAATACGTAGCCCTGAAAGTTTCAGTGCACCTTTTAAACACTTTTAATTTCTGAAGGTTGTTATTTGTGTAATTTATAGTTTTGAGGCCAATAGTGTGTGTACTGTATGTTCTGGAGAAGTTTTTACAAATCAGTTTGAGCCCTTATTATAGGGACAGTACAAATTCTTATACTCTGACATTATAGCTTTGCTTATGCTACATATAAGTCAGCAATACAGAATACTCATTAAATGCTATTTGAAATATGTAGCATAGTAAATAAGACTCCAACATTAAAAAGCTAAGTTTTGAAAACTGAATTAGCTGCAAAGCATACAGCCAGAAAAGGTAAAGAGCTTTACAAGTAAAATCGTGATATTTTTATTGCTCTCACAGAATGTTGATAGTGCAATTTATTCTTGTTCTTGTTCTCTTATTCTTATTAAAAGAAATCTACAGAATGTATTCAAGTGGTTGCTATTTTTGTTTTTTAAAATTTGTTATACAGTAGCTGAAAAATACTAATATACAATGTCAACAACTGTGTGTATGACTTTAGGAGATTGCGTTGTATTTGTCTCTGTATTATCATATATAACACATTCATAAAGTAATTTCAGGCACAACCAGTGAAAGAGTGCTCTGTCTATGTAATCATGCAGCTTACCTGTTGCCCAGTAACCAGAAGGACGGAGCCCTCCTTTCCATGTACCACTTGTCTGAAAATGTGGTCTAAAATTAAGAGTTCACTCCAGCAGTTCTGAAGAAGCTTCATTTGGTCATCAACCTGACATGAAAAAGAAACTATTAAATCAATGGCATCTCCATCTACCTCTAATTGTTTCAAGTACTCTGTGTATCACAGAAATTATCCATGAAATAAAAGAAGGTGGGGATCTGCATAAATGCATAGTATTGTAACACATATGGCCTCCATTGTTTGCGAGAGCTGGCTTACCAGAGCGGTGACGTCACCGCCCTTCCCTGTGAATAGCAAGGACTGCAGCCGCTGGGCTGATGGGAGATTTCCCTTTGGCTCAAGAGCCTGGGTCCCTGTTGAGTGATGCCAGAGGCCCGGGTTCGAGTTCCCCCCGGTGGGGGGCCAACCTAATGTGGCAGCAGCGAGGGTGCCCACGTGAACCCCGAAGCGTTACAGTATGAATTAATTTAAAAAAACACTGTTGCTTTAAATTGCAATATTTGTATACAATATTATATAACTTACAGGACATTTAAATGAAGAATTAATCATTAAGAGACCAATTATTAAATACAAAATCCATAAAACTGATTTGTTCAGTGGAGGGACATGCACAACACAGTGCATTTAGCAAATATAAGAATAATATTTAAAATGACTTTACTTTTTCATGTCATTTATGATAAACATTTAAGTCAGTATTATTAAGTACTGTAGATGCTGGATGTAAGAAGAGTTTAATAAGCTGTGGTGCTGGCTGCCTATTAAACTTTGAACTAGGCAGGGTTGAGAATGCAGTAAAGTTACATTAAGGCTGCCATCTTGTCTTTTAGTAGTAACACAACTGTGAAAAATGTTTACCTGTTACTAAAACACAATGGGAAGATGTCACAGAGGCTGACTGAAAGTATTTATTCTGGGAATTTTGACATGCGTCAAAGTGAACTGGAATTCTCGGGACATATGTTTCCCCATTTGTCAGTGTTACTGATTTAGCCACTGACCATGTGACACCACCCTGTGCACTCATTTATTATTAATAATGATTAAGTTACAAATTGCCCACAAAAAGTCTGTTTCTGATGCCAAGAATCAGTTGATGCTGACGTTAGTAAACGGGGAGTATAACCTAGAACAACACTGCTATTGTCAAAAGTAGTCTTTCTCACACCTCGCTGTGTTAATTATTACACTGTCCAGCTAGATGGAGAAAGACAGCATTGAAAGGGGAGATCAAATGAATGAGGAAAAAAAATAAGATTGTTTCCCCATTTTCTCCACAAAAACTATCCCGTGGATATTCTTATCTCACCCATGGAAACTTTTCTACAGACAGGATATTAAAAAAAGGTTTGTTTGTTTTTGTGTTCAGGATCAAGCTTTGGTCTTCAGCAAAATCGTACAGAAATCAGAAGCTGTTTATATTTAATAGGGTTTACACAAAGTGGAGAGAAAAAATCACAAATGCTATGATGTCAACTGTCAGGTATGAAGGAGGTAGAGGCTCGTTTTGTAATACATCTTAAAACAATAAAAAGAAAGTGATCTGTCCAAAGTCACATCAAATATAATTGCAACAAATATTTACATTACAGTTAAGAAAATGGTGAAATAACATTTCCAAATATATATTGCATCTGTAGACAGCATTATATGAAAGCTTTTCAAAGTATAAGCAACTTGATTATGAAACAAGGTTCTACATATACAGTTTTTTTATTTATGCTGATTATTCTTACCACACTTCCTTGTTACTGTAGTTCTTTTGGCTTTATCTGTTATGTTTATTTTGTATGCAGTCAAAACATGGCTTTGCAGAGAATGGATGACACCACTTAAATCAGGCAGCAAGGCCTGTTTGGTCTAAGTTGAATGGAAAAGTAAAAACAGCTCTACATTGATCTCTAAACCAAGAGTGGGCTTGCTTCAGGAACTAAGTGAACCACATTAAAGTCTGCTCTGTAAAATAAAAAAGCCTGAGAATATGGGAATCATTTAAACAAGCACTTTTACACTCTTATGTGATACAATCTGCACCATGTCTTGATTGCTTGTAGTTAATTTATCAATAAATTGTACAACTAGATAAAAATCTTCAAAAGGTGATTTAACCAAGAGTGGAAGGACATCCAAGTTCCTTTTAACCTTTGATAGAGAACATTTTCTTTGTTACTATACTAAAATGCATCCAGGATCACCAAATCTAAATAACATAAAAACAAGCTACAGGCACAAGGCAGAGTACACGCAGAATAGGACACTAGTCCATCGCAGACACACATGCACACATTCACACCAGGGTCAATTTTCCCAGAAGCCAATTAACCTGCTGTACCAGTATGTCAGTGGACTGTGGGGATGAAGCTGGAGCATCCAGAGAAAACTCACATGAACACAGGGAGAATATGCAAACTCCATACAGATAGCCTCCCAGGTCCAGAATTGAACCCATGACCCTAGCACTGCAAGGCAGAAATGCTAACCCCTGCCCGACTGTCAACCATTATGTAATTCTGGGCAAAACTATTTCTACCTTCTTAAACATGCACACATACTGAACATCAAAATAAAATCATAATGGCAAATTCAAGAAAAACAGATTTTGAATATTGATTAAATGTTTTGTTGTCATTTTGAATAATTGATCATCCATGATTGTGTTATACTCAAGTGACTGTTGTATTACCACTAAATCACCTCATTAGTAAGAGAGTTGATTGCATACAGGAGATATGATGATTTAAACCGTGAAATGTCAAGCCTAGAGAAATTCAAGAGAGAAAAACAGATATGCCACGCTTATCAAGAGAATTATGACTACGCATTGGTACGTTGGAGGCTAGACTATGCATAATATGCATATTACAGTGCACTGTTGCTCCTGATCTAGTTCACAACTAGAAAATTCTAGCTTCTAGTCAGGTTACAACCAAACAGCCTGTCAATGACAGGTCATGATCTGAGAGACATAAATCAGGACACCTTGCAAAGATCAATGAGAAGGTCCAAGTGTGAAGGTATGGCCAGGAGGGTCTAGTTACTACAGAACTCCACTTACAGTTACTGATGGCAGCCTGACTACATGGCACTCTACTGATCCAAGTATTGGGACCTGTTCTTGCTCATCGTAACGCGACAACGTTGTTGCACAGCATTGCACACACACTTCCTGCCATTGTCTTGCTGGAAAGTCGATTTAAACCAAGTTTGAGCTCCTTCAAATGAATGTGGTTGTAGAATAGAATATCCCGATGTACTTCAGAATTTGTCTGTCCCTCAATTCTAACACAGGCACCAGGGCCAGAAATTGTAAAACAAGCCCTCCTCCTTAGTTTACAGACGAGATGATATTTTTTTCCAATATGAACTAAATTCTTCCATATATGATGTCATACTAACACCAATGAGACTGTCCAAAAACAACTAATTTTCAGCTAAACACATGATTTGGTCACTTAATTCAGCAAACCCATACCTATCATTCATATCTTAAGAGACAGTGTATTAGGTTTTTTGAAAGTCCCCAATTGTTGCCCTTCAGTTAAAGAGTCCCAAGTTGCTTTCTTACCATATACAGTATTTGGGTAATAGGTTCTTGCATCCTCTTCCTGGGTGGGTAGCAACCATCCCATTAGCCTTGAAATCCTAGGTTCATTGCAGGGCAACACTTGTAAAAAGGGGACAATTTATACACACAAATTAACCTATGCAACATGGACCTGGACACTAGGAAGAAACTAGGACATCTGGGAAAAGGCCAAGCGATCACTAGGAGACCCCAGGACCCACGCACTGAAGAGGCAGCTAACTCCCATCTCATTGCACCACTAGTGAAACTACCAGCTGACTAAATGGACCCGAGGATTACTGTATATTTCAATTCTTTTTATTTGTCTAACCGTTTATTTAGAAAAATTAGCAATTATTTTTGATATCGTACATTTTTGTACTCTCTAATGCTTATTGTTTGCCAGATGTTCAAGTTTTCATTTAGACAGCAAATACCAAATGTATGCGATTTCAGTTACTGTACATTGAATTAAGGATTTAAATGCATTTGCAGGCTACTCTGCTTATCTTAAGTGGCAATGTGTCATTTGTTTTTTTGATGACAGATGTTGACTGTGACACTTTTTACTGTAATCCCAAGATCAAAAGATTCAGAAATGTAATATTTAATTTTATTACACTACTTATTACCCTATGGCAAGAGCTTTGCTGCGCACAAAGTTACATGTGCTGCTGATGGCAAGATAGAAATGCTATCGAAGCAATGCTATCAGGAAACGTTCAAAGTCCCAATACTGTGGTTGTTTAAGTATCTAGGAAGCAGGAAAATATCATTTAAGAGGGCCTGTGTACACTTTACTGTAACAGAATAGAGTGAAAGCATACATACATGAGAAAAATCCACCTAGGTAGGCAACAGAGCATGCAATGAAAAATTAAAGCCACCAATAACACTGAACATTAACTTTGGAATAAAAATAATTTATTAATAATAATCCCTTGAAAAACATGACAAAATGAAATGTTGCCTGGAAAAACACTGAAAACTAAGAAAAAGTATCATACTGTACTTGACCAAAAATGCTTTAACATGATAAATATTATTTCCTCTTTCTTCACTTGACTAAAGTTAATGTCTCCTCATACACTGCTCAATAGCTTCTGTTTAAATGCTAAATGTTATTGCACCTAAACGTTGCTTGGAATGTTTTGTTTCAGTACGGATCGTCAACAGTATACAGTACAGTAGAAGTTAAGACTCATTTTTGCGATTGTTCAGTCTCTTGTCTTTTGAGTTGCACCGGTCTGGGGGAGTAGTGTAATCCATAGGTCTATTCTTCAACAATCCTAAAGTTGCACAATAAAACTACGCATGCCAACCAACAGTTCTACAGAATGCTTTGCATTTATCACATTCCACTTGAGAGATTGTGACTCAGACAGTGTCCTGAAAGGCTTATGAGAAAATTATTCAGTTCTCTTTGGAACAGGAATCAAAAGAAGCTCTTATTAAGAAACAGGAAATAAAAACAAAACTATTTAAAATATATTAAAATGATAGATTAAACAGGGAATAC